TAATACGTTAAAGTACTATTTAGTCCTACCAAAGGAGAGGTCTCTCTGGCTTCTGTCTTTCTGCTTCTCAGTCTCTGTCTGTCTGTCTCTCTCTCTGGAGACAGAGCTCCTGCAAACAAGAGCAGCCCAGCCTGTAAGCAGGGCTTACAGAAGCCTGACAGATGATGTTTCCTGGGTTGTTCCTCCACATACTCAACACACTGATGCCTCTGCTGATTGTCCCTTGGTGCCACCTACGAGGGACAAGCACTTCAGGACACTCCATCTGAAATTCCCAGTCTTCCTTGGTTTGGCAGAACCCAATTTGTTCATCATCAGAACATAACAATGTTCAGCTTTTTAAAATGACAAATTAATTTTAACATGTATCAGTCACTGCTGCCACTTTGTTTATTTGCCATTCTTTATTTTTAGGCCCTGCAGGCATTTTTTTTCACCTGGGAATACTTAGAAAATCAGATAGAAATATTTAACTGATATTTACCTTTCAGTCTCTAAATCTTTAACCAAGGAACATTTCAGAAGTGTGATTTTGGTTGCTACAGATCCATGGCAGCATGCTACATTGATAAATGTTTTGTCGTGCTACACACAGATAACAGAGAATAAAATGTATGACAATAATAAATATCAAGACATGCATATTCACAGCCTCTTTCCTCTCACCTGCTAAGGAATATTTTGGTGTTGTCCATGTAACCTTTTTCCCTTCCTTTAAGTCTGGCCTTAATTAGGTAGAGCAGAATGAAGAGTGTACTCTGTGTGTGTGTGTGTGTGTGTGTGTGTGTGTGTGTGTGTGTGTGTGTGTGTGTGTGTGTGTGTTGGAGCGAAAGATAGATTGGATCCCAGGGAAGAAATGAGATAAAGCATGAGAGTGTTTAAGTTTCTTGGAGAATATTAGTAGAGATTTTAAGGAACAGCTGCTTATGGGGGAGAGACGTTGAAATGACAGATAGGAAAAAGCTACTTTATAAGTTTTGCTCTACATTAAGGACGTATCTGCTCACCACACACACCACACACACCCAGTTTTCTGAAGTAAAGATTTTAATTGCTTTTCGTTATTTTTCGGGACTGTTTTCTCTGAATTTTACGTTATGCTAAGACTGGGCCACAAAAGGCTTGACTTAATTCAGACTACTGAAATAGGAACACCAGGATACATTTTCTATTCTGACATTTTCTATAGACATAAGCTAGTGAGCCCTAATTTTAAGATTATTAAGAAGGTTGTTTTTTACTCCCCCACCAGTTTTACTGAGAAATAATTCGCATACATCACTGTGTAAATTTAAGGCACACAGCATGATAGCTTGATTTACATATATTGTGTGAAGTGATTACCGCAATGGCTCAGCTAACATCATCTCATATAGATACAATAGACAGAAAAGGAAAAAGAAACAAATTCTTGTGATGCAAACTTTTAGGACCCTCTTAACATTTGTACCTCTTGACTACCTTTCCGCAATTCCCCCTCCCCTCATTCTCTGCCTTTGGTAACCACAAGTCTGATCTCTTTTTTATGCATTTAGTTTTTGATTTTTGCTTTTCTAGGTTTCACATATGAGATCATACAGTATTTATCTTTCTCTGTCTGATTTACTTCACTTAACATAATGCCTTCAAGGTCCTAGGAAGGTTTTTTTAAAATCAAATAGGGAAAATGTTAAGGGACGATGCATTTTTTTAAAAAGATGTATATTTGCAGTTTTAATAATCTTGTGAAATTTAGGAAAAACTCTACTATGAAGCATTTAACATTGCCACTCCCCTGAGATCTTCCTGAAATCAGAAACTCTTTTTGCCACAGTCTTTCAGCGTGTTTCTTATATCTGTTACTGCACTTAATTCATTCTGCCTAGCTTGTTTTTCAAAGAAATTTCTTACTATAAAAGCAGTATATGTTGGCCTAAATTTATTCTTTTCCCCCCCAGCTTTATTGAAGTATAATTAACAAATAAAATTGTAATATATTTTCTATTATGTATATAATAATATATTAAAGTACACAGCGTGATGATTTGATATCATATACACTATGAAAGTATTCCCACAATCAAGTTAATTAACACATTCTCCATCACCTCACATAGTTACTTTTTTTTGGTGGTGATAGAACATTTAAGGTTTACTCTCTTGGCAGATTTCAAGTATATAATACAGTATTATTAACTGTAGTCACCATGATGTACATTAGATTCTCAGAACTTATTCATGGTATAATTGAAAGTTCGTACCCTTTTACCAACCTCCCCCATCATACCACCACCACCACCCCGCCTTGGCAGCCACCAATCTACTTTCTGTTTCTATGAGTTTGGCTTTTTTAGATTCCACATATAAGTAAGATCATACAGTACTTGTCTTTTGTTTCACTTAGCATAATGCCAAACTCCAGGTTCATCCATGTTATCACAAATGTCAGGATTTCTTTCTTTTCGTGGCTGAATAATATTCCACTGTGTATATATACCACATTCATTCATCAGTGGACACTTATGTTGTTTCCATGTCTTGGCTATTGTGAATAATGTTGTAATGAACATGGGGGTGCAGATATCTCTTCAAGGTAGTGATTTCATTTCATTTGGAGCTACACCTAGAAGTGGGATTGCAGGACCATATGGTAGTTCTATTTTTAATTTAGCTTGGATTTATTTTTTTTTAATTTTTTAAAATTTATTTTTATTGAAGTATAGCTGTTTTACAGTGTTGTGTTAGTTTCAGGTGTACAGCAAAGTGATTCAGTTATACATACATATATATTTTTTGACTCTTTTTTTAATACAGCAGGTTCTTATTAATTATCTATTTTATACATATTAGTGTATGTATGTCAATCCCAATCTCCCAATTCATCTCACCACCACCACCCCATATCTTTTTTTTTAGATTCTTTTAGGTTATTACAAAATATTGAGTATAGTTCCCTGTGCTATACAGTAGGTCCCTGTTGGTTATCTGTTTTATATATAATAGTGTATGTATGTTAATCCCAAACTCCTAATTTATCCCTCCCCCGCCCCCTTTCCCTTTTGGTAACAGTAAGTGTGTTTTCTATGTCTGTGGGTCTATTTCTGTTTTGTATATAAGTTCATTTGTATCATTTTTTTTCTTTTAGATTCCACATATAAGTGATATCATATGATATTTGACTCTGTCTGACTTACTTCACTTAGTATGATCATCTCCAGGTCCATCCATGTTGCTGCAAATGGCATTATTTTATTCTTTTTTATGGCTGAGTAATATTTAGGTTGAATTTATTCTTAATTGAGCTCATTAAAGACAGAGGCCATACCTTATTTATAAAACAATATCATGGCAATTAACAGCACAGGCCTTGAAGTCAGACACCTGAGTTTAAATCTTGGCTCTGCTGCTCCTCACTTAAAATACCAAATAGTTTTCTGGGGTTGTTACTATAGTGTAACTTTGTTTAGTCTCAGTACTCTTATCTGTAAAATTGAGATAATTATAGCTATTTCTCTCAGGGCAGTTGTGAACATTAAATGAAAAGATGTATGAAAGCATTTAACAGAATTCCTGGCACACACGGTATTCAACCAATGGTAACTATAATTAACTATATGCCTACTTTATTATTTGAATCCCTACCATGTAGCACAGATACATGTGAACATGTGATACAGCTGAACAACAAATCATGGCTAAGGTGAGAGAAGAAAACCACGGAGGAATCCACGGGCTGGCAACCTTGCTTTACTATACCTTTATTTTTCTCTGTGACCTTAATATTTGGAGTCCCAGGGTGTGTAGTGGGGTTTGGGGGCATGCTTCTAGCCCAGATGAGCCTTGCTGGACGTGGGCTAGGAGGAAAGAGTGTCTTCTGTTAGTACCAGGGCCTCCCTGGGTGTTCTGAGCCTCTCAGGGGAATTGCAATTCAATCTCCAGTTCCTTCTCCCCTCCTTGCCTCACCCCACAGTGTCTCTGGAGAGTCTCCTGGTGATGGGAACTTCCACTGACTAACCTGCACCTTCAGTGAGGTCCCCAGGAGTTGGGGACTCTCTTAAACACCACCTCCTGCACGAAGCACTTCTTATTTCTCCAGGTCAGAAAGAATTTCTCCTGTTATAGCACTTAGTACTTATTCCCCTGTTCTAGCTACTGGCTTTGTGTTGTTTCCCCTGTGAATTGCTAGGTGTCTGAGAGCAAAGTCTGGCTCTGGTTCCTGTTTGATCAGTACAGTGAGCTGTACATATGTTCCCAAGTAATAACTGTTATATTGAATTTTACTGAAGCCGGTCTTGGGATTGCAGCGTCCAGCTGAGCAATAAGCCCAGACCTTGCCCTAAAATCTAAGGTGCTACCCTGATCCCAGAGCTTTAAGATACAAACTTCTCCTCCCTATAGGAGAACACAGCCTCTGGGCAATTAACAGCCTAGAGCTCATTATTTGACTCATTGTAAGAAGTTCCTAGCAATAGATTTCTAAAAGCTAGCAGTAATGCAGAAAAAAACAAAAACAAAAACCCTTTATTTAGGTGATAGGGATTTATAAAATATTAACATCAAACATTTTCCTCTTCATAATTTAAAGTTCGGTTTTTTTACACCACCCAGCTATCACACAGGAGCATGGTGGAAATTCAATACCTGTAACAGCTGGAAACAGTCTGAAAGAATTCTGACTCTATTAGCAGAAGAATTCTGACTCTGTTACTTAAACTTTGTTCCAGTAGTCATATAAAAATAATAAGGCAAGAATTTATTTGGTCTCAAATATGATTATTCTGAATCATCCAACATGCACGAAATTGTAAAATTTTCATTCTCAATTATCATTACTACATAGTTTGCTAAAGTGCCTGGCCCCAAATAATATTTTCTAGATGTTATTCTGAGTTGTTTAATGGAATTTAGCTGAAATAACATTTCAGGAAAAGTTTGCCAACTCGGCAACTTGCTTTTCTTACTTGGCCTGGAGAAAAAATTACCCTTTCAACTTCATCAGCATCTCTTTCCCCACTTGGGCCTCAGTTCTGCTTGAAGAATGCTAATATGTCTCCTCTTGATTTCATGTGGCTTTTCACAAATCCAGTTAACTTCCGGAACCCCTCCATCAGCCCGTCCCCGGTGGCAGCACAGCAGGGCTGCACGTACCAATTCCGGTCACTGCAGAGTTGCTTCACTTTGAACATTCTGGTGATGTCCTCGGCACTCAGAGCACCAGGCACGTCTTGTTTGTTGACTAACAGGATAACAGGCACATTTTTAATGTGCTCATTCTTCAAAATCTGCTCAAACTCTCTCCTGGAGTCTTCCAGTCGCTGTGTATCTGTACTGTCCACAACATATACCAGCCCATCGGTGTTCTCACAGTAGAGGCCCCACACAGTTCTCATTTTTTCCTGTCCTCCAACAGGAAACACCCTTTTCCAACTCAATCATCTCCACGTTGAAACCTACTGTTGGGATGGTCACAATACCCTCAGCAAGCTTTAATTTGTAAAGGAGAGTAGACTTCCCAGCAGCGTCAAGTCCCAGAAGAAGAATTCGGGCTTGCTTGGCTTTGGGGTTTTTAGAATTCAATAGACCCATTTTAGGCTTTTTTTTTTTTCTTTGAAGACCTTTTCTTTTGGCTGGAGCCAGTGTTTCCTCTTCAGGTCTTGCATGAAAATGTTAAGAGGAAAGAAGAAAGCAAATGCTTCATGTTATAGTCTAAGAATAGGAACTTGCGTGCATTTATGTTGTAGCTTATCAACTTGATTATGGGCAAGCAGTGTTTCATTTGCAGTCCCAACCAATCCTGAGGAATCTGCGATGTGAGTAACCAGCCAGTGTCATAGGAGCTCAAAGGGGAAATTCTTTGTGAGTGAGTAGGACTTAGGAGGGGCCTGCCTGTGTGACACTGCAGCTTGTTCTTTTCCAGATGTTGGAAGTCTAGGGTAATCAAAGGTTTGGATACGCACGGGAACATGGTTTGGTAGCGGCATAAAAACTTAACTTTACAAGTGGTTTGTAGAAATTCTCTAGTTGTTTGACTATTTATCTTATCCCAGTTGTAAATAAGTAACCAGACTTCTGAAGCCATGAAGAGAGAGTTTACCTCACACTGCCCTGAGCAGTATCTTTAGTACTTTCCAGATTGCTCAGTAGGAAACTTTAAACCATCCAAAGTTATCTGAACCTTACTCCCATAATCATATAGAGAATCACTTCTTTAATCTTCTAAATAGAAAATTTACACTATTCACAAGACCAAATTTACAGGAGGGGGAAGTTTGTAACACAAACACTTTTAAAATTAAGCAGTCTGATTAAAGGTGGCGAATGAATATATTTATCTCCTCTCCTCAAGACTCCACCAAAATGATGGTAAAGGAATAAAAAGAACATATAAACTCATATCTAGAGCAGGAGAGTCCATCAGAGGGTGAGAGATTTCAACAAAATTCTGGAACGTGGAACATAGATAGAAGATGAATGGTAACTTATGCAGCAGGATAAAGCTGAGGCTTGGAGTACTGATACACAGGATACAGAGGGAAGGGGCAAAATGAGCAACTAAAAAACAGGGGGTTAACTGAAAGTCTGAATAAGGAACAGAAAACACACACACACACACACCTCTGCTGGGTGACAATTCAGAGTGAGATGTTACACCCTGGGCCAAAAAAAAAATCTTTTCTAAAGAAATTGTATGATGTCAGAGAAGAGACCTTCATGTTTTGACAGTTGGGAGTTTCCACCTCATAATGCCTAATTCAACATTTAGTTAACCTATAGCCAACCTGGCAGTTGGCAAACCTCACTCATGTACATGGAGTTCCTAGTCAGTTTTCAGTGCACAGAGGTTTTCATACTTAATACATAACATGCCTCTAATATAATGAAAGACCAAGATAAAAATAAGAAGGTTTTAAGAAAGCTTTAACAGAGGTAATGCAGGGAACAGAAGAAAATGTTCAATAAGTTCTAATTAATATTTCCATAGAGATTTGCAAAGATATTGCATCCATAAAACAAGAAATGGATGCTATTTAAAAAGCCGCTCAAAAAACAAAAACAGGACTCGTGAAAATTAAAAACATGGTTTCCAAAATTTAAAAAGATCAATAATAGGTTAGAAGAAAATCCAGAAGTTTCAAAGTCTGACTTATAGGACTTTATTCCAGAAAGAACAGAAAATATGCAAAGAGGAAATTATCAAAGAAACAACATAAGACTATTTTTCAAAGCTAAAGAATAAACTCTCCAGACTGAAACGTTTCCCTCAACGCTTAGCAAGTTGATCTTAATTTTTTTTTAAACTGTAAAAAAAAAAAAAGTCTATATATTTATTTATTTGGCTGTGCCGGGTCTTAGCCGCAGCACACGGGATCCTTGTTGGGGCATGCAGGATCTTTAGTTGCGGCTTGCGAACTCTTAGTTGCAGCATGTGGGATCTAGTTCCCTGACCAGGGATTGAACCCCGGCCCCCTGCACTGGGAGCACAGACTCCCAGCCACTGGACCACCAGGGAGGTCCCAGCAAGTTGATTTTTAAAAGAGCTATATATACTAAGGCATAAAATAGACATGTTTTATTTTTAGTTAAACTAAAATTCTATTTTTTAAATTAAGTAGACTATTCTGGGTGTAGAAAGTACACTTATGAAGAAATTATGTAAACCTTTAAAAAACTATTAAATTCTTAACCAACTCCCTGTATCTCAGAAACCAGAGATAGCATTTTCATTCATTTATTCATCCATCCATTTATTTAGCAAATGTATATATTGATTGCCTACTGTGTGAACTACCATGTGCTAGATTCCAGGGAGGACGCAAAGGTAAATTAGACCTTCCCTTAGGTGGCTTTCATTGAGGAGAAGTTTAAAGATATGTGAATAAAAATAATAACACAAAGTTTTAAAAAATGTAAATGCTATAAGAAGAAAAAAGCTAACATATTCTAGAAATTCAAAGATTACTTCAGGATGGAGGGCATCAGGGTGATCACCCTAGAGAAGGTTCAACCTCAAACCAGGCCTTCTAGAGATAGGGTAGGGGAAGGGTATATTAAAGAGATGGTCTGTGTAAGCAGTCTCAGAAATGGGAAAACATAGAATGTGTATGGAAAAACAACAGGATACAAGTATGCACATGTAGTGGGGTTTTTTTCCTATAAACGTTTAACTATCATGAGAAAACCATCAGACAAATCTTGATTGTAGGACATGCTACAAGACAACAGACCTGAACTCTAAAATATGTCCATGCCCTGAAAGGCAGAAGAAAAAAAAGGAACGGAAGAAGAATGATCTAAATTAAGATATATTTAAGATACGTGTTTGGATCCTTTGTTCAAAAAAATTGATTATTACTATAATTGGGGACATTTGATGATGATATTATTATATATATGAACTATATATTAGATGATGTTATTTATCAATGCTAAATTTCTTTTTTTTTAATTTTTAAAAATTTATTTTGGCTGCGTTGGGTCTTCGCTGCGTGCAGGCTTCCTCTAGTTGCAGCGAGTGGGGGCTACTCTTCTTTGCGGTGGTGGGCTTCTCATTGCAGTGGCTTCTCTTGTTGTGGAGCACAGGCTCTAGGCGCACGGGCTTCAGTAGTTGCAGCACATGGGCTCAGTAGTTGCGGCATGCCAGCCCTAGAACACACGGGCTTCAGTAGTTGTGGCGCTCGGGCTCAGTAGTTGTGGCACACAGTCTCCACAGCGTGTGGGATCTTCCCAGACCAGGGATCGAACCCATGTCCCCTGCATTGGAAGGCGGATTCTTAACCACTGCATCACCAGGGAAGTCCAATGCTAAATTTCTTGAGTGCAATGAGGATATTGTAGTTATATGAGAGGATGTCCTTGTTCTAAAGAGATATATGTTAAAGTACTTAGGGGTGATATCAGCAAGTTAATTTCAATTGGTTCAGCGTGCGCCACACACACCCACACACACACACACACATCAGAAATATGGCAAAGGTCAGCAATTGGTAGTTTATGTGAGGGGATTTGGGTGTTCACTGTACTAAACTCTCCTGTAGGTTTGAAAATGTTCAAAATAACATGTAGAAAAAAAGAATATAATTGAAATAAGCTAATCAAACTAGGCTGCAGTCTGCAGTAATGTAGAGAATTATTCAGCTTACACATGTGGTAAGACCATGTTTCCCAAGATGAATTTAGGGACTGTGCACTACCACGTGGGCTCTTCTCTGTCCATCTCTGGACTTTCAATAAATTGAATTTTAAAGGAAAAGGTTTAACACATTTCATTTTAAACTTGATACAGTCTTTATGAGATCCACTGTCCATACCGGGGTAATACTTTAATTTGTTTTGTCTATAATGAGGATAATCATACATATATATGCCTTCACTCTGTTTCCCATTTGACCAATTATACCTTGTTTTCAGGATAGTCAACCAGATGAGGGGTTAAATTCTGGATGAATATTATATCCAAATGAAAATACGACTCTCTTTTCTGTAAAAGGGAGTAATTTCTTTCTCAATGTTAATTTTCCTGAAAAATTCTACAAATGTTTCAACGTCCTTTTCTACTGTCTTACAACATTTATGGATTCATTTGTCCTGGCCAAACCTGAGGGAAGGCAAGGTGTTTGTTTTCTGTGAATCATTTCGAGATTATGCAAATAAAGGCAGGATTGTGAGAGGGTTACTGGCAAGCTCTGTGGTATCATAGGAAATTTGTTTTACAATACAGGAATGAAAGAAACATTTTTTTTAAACTTCTTACCTTGGAGATGGGAAGCAAAAAGCCCTTACTTAGAAACTCAACCGTGTACTGACAAAGTAAAGATATAGAAACTCATCTCTTGGAAGAAAGTGGCAACTTATTCAATTAACTTTATTTTTTATAATTTAGGAAGAAAGAATGGGGAGGTCGTTGTGTGACTTGCTTAGTTTACGCAGACTTGGAACATGCCTGTTTTCCCTATAATAACTTTTTGTTTGGTCTTTTTAAAAATGAACTTTTAGAAAATGGAAGTATAACATACATAGAGAAAAATGCAAAAATCATAAATGTACAGCTCAGTGAGTCACAAATTGAAAACATCCATGTATATACTGGTGATACCAGGCTTAATTTTTAATTTTCCATTTTTGTTGCAAGTAAAAATTCTAGACCTCAAGCATTTCTACACTCAGTTGTCAGAAATATACTCTGTTCTCGAACATGTAATGAGAACAACAGGTACTCATTATCCTAGTTGAGATTCTTTGGTGCTGTGAAAAATGATATTCCAATCCACGAAGCTTTTCCAAGTGCCGTTTTTTTCCCAGGACAGAACCAGAACTTTCATGCACATCACCAAATGTGGAGCATATGGGTAGACCACTGGATCTGAGTTCAAATCTAGCCTCTGGCACTTACTGAGTGCTGAATGGTGACAAAACCAGGGATGTTGTGATAGCTTATTATATTACATATAATAAATGTGAAAACAAATATCACAGAACCTGGCACATGATTGATGTGAATTTTCTTCCTCTCCTCTCACAAGTTTTGTATATAGCTAACATTTAAAAATACCTGCAGGGCTTCCCTGGTGGCGCAGTGGTTGAGAGTC